CCCCCCCCCCGCCCCATGGGCAGCCTCCATTCCACCTGCATCAGAGCGGCCCTCCCAGCCCTGAAGGAGGGTGCCCCGCCCCCATGCAGCACCCCAGAGCCCTCCATGCGCCCTCCGCCCGCACCTGCCGGGCCCATCCTCCCTCTGGGTCTCCTGGACGCCCACCTCTCAGGGTCTTCCTGCCTTGTCTCCAGGCAGCTGGTGCCTATGCTTCCTGGCCCCCCCAGAACGTGAGTTTCTCGAGGAAGGGGTGGTCTTGCTCATGTGTTCACAAACTACGCTCACCTGTTGGCCTCACCTTCATATTCTGTTCAGAGCCCTGGGGGGCCTGGGGAGGGCACCTGCTGTCCACCCACCCGCTGTCCACCCACCCGCTGTCCATGCACCCTCTGTCCACCACCTGCTGTCCACCACCCGCTGTCCACTCACCCGCTGTCCACCCACCCGCTGCTGTTCCTCCCTCCTGGGGCCAGCTGTCCTTGCAGGCTGGTGGTCTGGGGGGGATGCTGACCACAGAGCCTGCCCACCCACACCTCCCAGTGGGGGCCCAGCCTTCCCCGGACCCTGGCCAGGACCCCATGCTCTCGAGGGGTGCAGCCGCCCCAGCCAGGACCGCACAGCCAGCACAGGGAGCACCCTGGCTACAAGGACGCCGTCCGAGCACACAGAGGTCAGGGCTGCCCAGAGGCCGGGGCCTGCCAGCTGCCCCTCAGCCTTCCCTCCCGCTTCCTGCCGAGGCAGGGACGCAAGACGAGAGGGCTCCAGATCCACGGACGTGCCCCACAGGCCGCTCGGGAGCCTGGACGAGACCGCAGCAGGGAGGGAGGGAGGGATGAACGAGTTACTCAGGGCAGGAGGCAACCCTCAGGACAGAGACAAAGGTGTCGAAGCTGCTGCAGAAGCAAGTCTCACCCGGATGGAGACACACAGACAGACAGACAGACACCAGCTCTCCTGGCGTTTCTACGACGCTGCGCATCATTTTGCCAATGAGGTACTTTGTCCAAAGCCTATGGATACAGTATCGCATCGACAGAAGGCACTCAGGCCGCAGTCTGCACTGATGGTTCATCCAAACCCAAACATAAAGGAAAAGGCGCAGGTCGGTCAGGCCCAGCCACCTGCCAGACGCTGCCAACTGGAAACGCAACCCAAACGTGCCCTGCTGACTCTGCACAGACACCGGGGCCTCCACCGGGACCAGGCCTGGGGAGGGCGGGCTGGGGGAGCTCAGGGCTGAGGGGTGAGCGGGCCCTACCCTGCATCGTGTCTGACTCTGTCCTCCCAAGGAGGGCATGGGGTCAGTCCACGTGGAGACCCACGCCGCAATGGCGGACGCCCAGCGAGGCCCATGGGGGGCGTTGGTGCCCCTCCCTCTGGGGGGGCAGTTTTTAGGACGTTGGAAACGCTGGCCTGTGTTGTCTGAAATTAGGAACTGCCAGGTCTACTGAGAAGAGGCAGCACAGCCCACCGTGAGGCCTCCTGGCCGGGACAGGTCCCTGGAGCCAGCTGGGGGGCTACAGAAGGGGCCTGGCAGCGCATATACCCGGGAGGGGGCCTGGTGGCACCTATCTCCCCAGCACGGCTGCCGGCCGAGACCCCACAGAAAGAACCTGCCGCTGCCCTCCTGTCCGCACTCCTGGCCCTCCGCAAGATCAGCTGGGAAGGCCCCACGTGTCCCGCGGGCTCCGGGCACTCAACTGCTCCAGCCTCAGGCCCGGCCGAGATCTGTCGGGTGGGATGGACCCTCCCCAGGCGGGCACGCCCTGTCCTGGGAAGTACGCAGCTAAGGCCAGCCTGAGGCCGCCAAAGGCTGCTCTGGCACCAGGCCTGGCCCACCATGGCCATGACGTGGCCCCTGAAGTCAAAGAAAGGTGTGACAGGGCTGCTGGATGGTGAGCTGCTCCCCACACAGCCCTCCCATCATGCCTGGCTCTGTGGGCCTCCTGCCCACCTCCCTCCCCGGCCCTCGAGGCTCTGGTCCTGGTCCTGGGTGGGCGGGACCCTGCCTCAACCAACCACCACCAGCCTTGCGGGAGGCCCTGGCAGCCAGGGCCTGGATGTCCCCACCTCACGTTCCCACGGGGCAACGCTCCCAGAGCTCCCTGACTGGTGCCCAGGGCAGGTGTGCAGGTGAGCCTGGAGGCCCCTGTGCCTGGGTCACGGGTCCCTCCAGCCCACTCGCTTGGCTTCAGCTCAGGGCCAGGTCCCCAACTGCAGGGTGGTGGTGCTGCAGTCCAGTCTTCCAGGCCCCTCAGAGCCCAGCACCCCCCAGCGGTCTGCGTCGCTGGGACCTTCCTCAGACTTCCTGAGTCTAGAACTCACCCTCTGGGTTTTAATCAGCAGCCGGAGGGGGGCTGGCTCCTTCCTGCCCAGCCAGGCCTCTGAGGTGGGCTCCTGTGTCTCGGGTGGAGTGCCAACCCCCCAACCCCACCGCCAGTGCAGCCCGTGGCCCTGGCTCCCAGGGCCCTGATGCACCTGCGCCGCTGGCCTGGGTGGTCCCACCCCTCCCGCTTCTCCCTTCTGCGCACGTGGTGCCTCCAGAGGGCCTGAATCAAAACCTGTCAGTGGGGACTTTCCTGGTGGCGCAGTGGTTAATAATCCGCCTGCCAATGCAGGGGACATGGGTTTATGCCCTGATCCGGGAAGACCCCACATGCCGCGGAGTGACTAAGCCCGTGTGCCACAACTACTGAGTCTGTGTGCCACAACTACTGAGCCTATGTGCCACAACTACTGAGCCTGGGCTCTAGAGCCTGTGTGCCACAACTACTGAAGCCCGCGCACCACAACTACTGAAGCCCGTGCACGTAGAGCCCCGTGCTCCGCAGCAAGAGAAGCTACCACAAGAAGCCCACACACTGCAATGAAGAGTAGCCCCGGCTTGCTGCAACTAGAGAAAGTCTGTGCGCAACAACAAAGACCCAATGCAGCCAAAAATAAATAAATATATAAATTCCTTTCTGGAAGCAGGCAGCTTCATCAGATGATTTCTCAAGGTTGGCAGGTGCAAAGTTAGCCTGCAAGTAAGCAAGGCAGACAAACCAGACGAGGACCAGAGACAGTGCTGAAGTTTAGATACAGACCATAACACAGCCAGAAGCATGGTACTCAGAGACAGAAAAAACAAAATCAGAAATGTCTTCAGGCAACGGGAAGCCATACAAAGGGAAACAGCGGATCTGAAAAAGAACCAAACTATAAATTCTAGGGCTGAAAACATAACAACCGAAATAGAAATAGTGGATGGATTTCATAGTACGTTGGATACAGATGAAGAGAGAACTAGTAAAGTAAAAAAGACAGCAGAAGCAGTTACCAGGATTAGACAACACGGAAGAAAAGGGATGAAAAGTATGCAAGAAAGGTAAAACACATGGAAGATACGGGGACTCAATATACATTCAGAGTCCCAGGAAGAGAACAGAGGGAAGACAGGGGAAGGAGACAACATCCGAAAGAGGTAATGAGCGAAAAAATTCCAGAGCAGATTGAAGACACCGACCCACAGATTCAAAAGCCCAATAAATCCCAAGCAAGACAAATAAAAAGAAATCTATAACTAGGCTCCTCACAGTGAAACCGCAGAACACCAAAGCCAAAGAGAAGAGTCTAAAGGTATCCAGAGAAAAAGAGAGATTACTTTCAAAGAGGAGAAGTTAGATCTCTTCCCAACAACATATTTCAACCCAGTCAAAGGACTGACATCATACCAAGCATGGTCCCTGATCACAATGAGATTAACAGACCACACCAGAAAGATAACCAAAAATGTCATAGCTTGGAAATTAAAAACACACTTCTAGGGACTTCCCTGGTGGTGCAGTGGTTAAGACTCCTCACCCCCAATGCGGGGGGCCCGGGTTCGATCTCTCGTCAGGGAACTAGATCCCACATGCATGCCACAACTAAGAGTTTGCATGCCACAACTAAGGAGTCTGCCATGCCGCAACTAAGGAGCTCTCGAGCCTCAACTAAGGAGCCCATATGCAGCAACTAAGGAGCCAGCACAACCAAGAAAACAAACAAAAAAAGAAATGAAACACACTTCTAGTTAGTTCATGGGTAAAAGAAAAAAATAATAGAAATTTAAAGTGTCTTGAGCTGGACAATAATAAAAATAATACATATTGAAACGTGGGGAATATATTCAAGAAGAAAGAAGGCTTAAGATTCAGTTTAGTGGGATGAGCAGGGCATACAACAGACAGGATCAAAAAACCAAAAGCAGGGCAATGAAAGCAAAAATCAACATATGTGCTACATCAAACAAAACCTGCACAGCAAGGGGACAATCAACAAAATGAAAGGGCAACCTTCGGAGTGGGAGAAAATGTTTCCAAACCACGTACAGATAAGGGGTTAATATCCAAAATATACAAAGAACTCATAACTTAGTAGCAAAAACCCCCAAATAATCTGAGTTAAAAAGCAGGCAGGGGAGGGCTTCCCTGGTGGCGCAGTGGTTGAGAGTCCGCCTGCCAATGCAGGGGACGCGGGTTTGTGCCCCGGTCCGGGAGGATCCCACATGCCACGGAGCGGCTGGGCCCGTGAGCCATGGCCACTGAGCCTGTGCGTCCAGAGCCTGTGCTCTGCAACGGGAGAGGCCACAACAGTGAGAGGCCCGCGTACCAGTTCAGGGGAACTGAAGAGATGTTTTCCCAAAGAAGACACACAGATGGCCAACAGGCACATGAAAAGATGCTCAACATCACTCATCAGGGAAATGCGAATCAAAACCCCAATGAGACATCACCTCACACCTGTCAGAATGGCCGTCATCCAAAAACCAACAAATAACAAATGCTGGGGAGGATGTGGAGAAAAGGGAACCTTAGTACATTGTTGGTGGGAACGTAAATCATCGCAGCCACTCTGGAAAACACTGTAGAGGTTCCTCAAACAATTAAAAATGGAGCCACCACACGATCCAGGCTCCACTTCTGTGCAGGTATTCAAAGGCTATGAAATCACTCTCTCAAAGAGATACCTGCACCCCTACATTCACTGCATTATCCACAACAGCCCGGACATGGAAACAACCTGAGTGTCATCGACAGATGAGTGGACAAAGAAGCTGAGGTGTAAATATAAAATGGAACATTACTCAGCCATAAAAAAGAAGGAGTCTTAGGAATACCTTATGACAGTACCTTTGAAACCGTAAGTGAAATAGACAAACTCCCTGAAAAAAAAACCCACAGCTGACGAATCAATAGTCATGTTTCCACAATGAAAAGCAATCCAGGTTCACAGGCCATTTCCCCTCAACTTCTCAGGAAGAAAGAATTCCAATCTTAGACAAACACCCTCAGTGAAAAGAAAGGACAGGCCATCATCCACTGCGGGTTCAGAGGCCAGCTTAACCTCGTACACAAAGCCAGAAACAGACATTTCAGGAAGGCGAAGTCTGAATCCAGCTTCAGTTGGCAAACGAGACCTAGCAGTCTACGTTAAGTGGCAACACAACCCGGCAGAGACGGGGCCATGGCGGGGATCCAAGATTCATTTAACGTTATATAGTCAATCAACCTAATCCAGCCCACGGACAGACCAAAGGGGGAAAAGCATAGCATCAGCCCAACAGGTGCAAACAGAGTATTTGATAAAATTCCACATCCGTTCCTGATCAACACTCTCACGGGCCAGGAAGTGAGAAGAATTTCCACAATCTCATAAAGTGAAGCTATAAAACACTGTCAGTAAGATTGCTCCTCTGAGAGGGTGCCCGTGATCACCAAGGGGGAGGGGGCAGGGAGCACGGTGTAGGCGTGGCCTCAGTGGTCCTCACCCACGGGGCCCAGACTCCCAGGGGCACCCCAGGTGGGCAGATGCTGAGGGGAAGCAGGGAGGAGACGGGCAGGGAGCTGGGGGTCGGTAGACCCTGGTCCGCCTGAACCCCCCGCGGCACCAGCCTGGCACCCGCCCCAGTGCAGGGCGTGGGGGCCCCACTCACCAGGGTCCAGGCCGTGTTGCTCCAGCAGCCGCAGGACCTGCCGACCCAGCGCTCTGGGGCTCAGCCTCTCCAGCCTCAAGGTCGTCTGCGGGTACCTTCTGCAGGAGAGAGACACGGCTCGTGCCCAGCACCGCTTTCTCTCGGTTAACGCATCTCAAGATTTTACCTTTCATCAATGTCATACACGTGCACGGTTCAAAAGTCGAGTCTTCTTACAAGGCTCAGAGAAAGGCAGCACGTCAGCATGCCCCTCCTGCCGCCAGTCACCCGCACGACAGTTTTGAGGTGGTTTACATTTGCCCCATGTTTCCAAGAACCACCTTGTATTGTGGCCTCTCAATGATTCAGTTTTAGGTGTTTTGTACGATGTGTCACCACAGAAGGCTCCTCTCTCCAAACAACAGCATCCATGGTTCCAGTTAACTGGGCACAAGCAGCTTCTATGATATCACAACGGTGCAAATACGACTGGCGGCTAAGCCACAGCCTCCTCTTCTCTGCGGGTTAACCCTTGCTGGTCTGATTGCTTCCTTAGCCTCCTGTCCTGCAGACAGAGCCCACATAACCCTGCGCCCCTCTCCCCGCCGCTGGCTGCTCCCAGGCCCCTGTCCGTCACCGTCCTGGTGGCCCTGCACCTCTCCTGTCCCTAGGCCAGGGCCAAGCGGCTCTGCAGGTGACTCCCAGGGGCGAGGCGTGGACCTGGAGACGGTGCCCTAGGCCTCACACTGGACTGCGTCTGGCTGGGCTGAAGCCTGCGCCGGCACTGCCCCTGGAACCGGTCTGACTCCTGCTCTTTCTGAGGGTTTAGGGTCCTGGTCCTCAGTGCGGGTCTTTCTCCATCCATCCGGGCCTGGGTCTGGAGTGAATTCCTCCATGTGTTCCCTGCTTTCTTTCTGGAATTCCCATTATTTGGATGTTGGGTCTTCTTGACAGAATCTGCCATTTAAAAAACAAAAACTTTCCTCTCTGCTTTTCCTTCTTTGTTAATTTATTTTGCATGACGCTGGGAAGATATTTTCAAGTTTACCTTCCAAACCTTTTATTGAGACTTTCATTCTGCCACCACGTTTTTAACTGACAAAAGTCTGTTCTGTATTCCAAAGGTGCCCTCTGTATAGCTCTGGTGTTTATTTCAGACACAGAAACTCTCTACAGGCCTCAATTACAGCTTTCGTGTTTGTTTTTAAGTGATTTTCTGCTTCCTCTAAGCTCCGGGTAGGCTGGCCAGAGGTCTCGGAGCCCTGGCTGTGTTCCCCTGCTCAGGGGGCTTTTCTGGGGGATAGAAATTGTCAAACTGATTCTAAAATTCATATACAAGTGCAAAGGGTCCGGAATAATTAAAAACAACTTTGACATAGAAAAAGAGCATTGGAGAGCTAACCTTGTCTGACTCAGGACTTACTGTAAGGCTACGGTAGTCAGAACATGTGCCACAGACAGAGCAGGACAGAGGACAGAGAGACCCACACATATATGGACACCTGACAGGGGCACAAAGTCAAGTCTGTGGGAAAGGACAGTCTTTTACAACAAATGCTGCTGGAACAATTAGACATCAGCTGTTAAAAAAAAAAAAAAAAAAGAACTTCAATCCACACCTAGCACCCCATATGAAAATTCTCCAAAAATGGGCCATAGATTGAAATGTAAAACCTAAAATTATAAAACTTCTAGAAGTAAACAGGAGAAAATGTTTGTGCCCTGGAGTTAGGCAAAGATTTCTTAGCTGTGATACTAAAAGCATGATGCAAAAATTTTTTAAATTTATAAACTGGACTTCAACAAACTAAGAACTTTTGTTCTTTGAAAGATCATTAAAAGAATGAGAAGATGCACCACAGGGTGAAACGTCTACAAATAACACGTCTGATAAGGGCCTTTAACCCAGATTATATTTCTAAATCTCTCAAGACTCAGTAATGAAAACAGTCAACCTAATTAAAAAGTGTGTAGGGACTTCCCTGGTGGTGCAGTGGTTAAACTGCGAGCTCCCAACGCAGGAGGCCTGGGTTCGATTCCTGGTCAGGGAACTAGATCCCACATGCATGCCGCAACTAAGAGTTTGCATGCCACAACTAAGGAGCCCGCCTGCCACAAATAAGACCGGTGCAACCAAGTTAAATAAATAAATAAAATATATAATTTTTTTTAAAGTGTAAAAGATGGAGCAGCTAATTCACCAAAGAAGACACACAGATGGCAAATAAGCAAATGAGAATACACTTTACATTCTAAGTCATTAGGGACTGCAAATCAAAAGCACAAAAAGATACCACTCCACGCCCATTAGAACCGCGGACGTTACAGGCTGACCAGGCCATGGGCCAGCGAGGATGTGGGGCTGGCGATTCTCGCCTGCTGCTGGAGGGAATGGGAAACGTGCAGCCGCCCTGGAAAACAGTTTGACGGTTTCTCAAAAAATTAGTCCACACGCATCACATGATCCAGGAATCACACTCCAGGGTGTTCACCCAAGAGAAATGAAGACACACGTCCACGCAAAGCCTTGGGCACAAGTGTTCACAGCAGCGGTGTGTGCAACAGACAAAACCTGGAAACACCCAAATATCCATCGATGAGTGAATGGATAAGCAAAGCATGATGCAGCTACACACGGCAACACCACTCAGCATTCAGAAATGAAATAACGTGGATGAATCTCAGAATAATTGTGCTGGGGGACAGAAGCCATACGACCTAACTCCACTTACATAACGTACTAGAAAATGAAAAGGAATCTACAGTAACACAAAGCAGATCAGCAGTCCTCAGGGGATGGCGGGGTGGGGGGTGTGCTCAGCACCTGGACTGTGGTGATGGTTTCGTGGACACATACATACATCAAAAGTTACAAAATTACACACTCCGAACACAGAGTTCATTATATAGTAATCATACTTTAAGAAAACTTAGAGAAAAATGATGCTTGCTGTAGTTTTCTTTTTATTTTCAGTACTATCCTTTATCCGATGAAGGAAGTTTCCTTATATTTGTAGTTTGCTGAGAGTTTTTATCATAAATAAGCTTTGAATTTTATAATTTTTATACACGTTGAGGTGCTTACATAGTTTTGTTATCTAATCTGTTGACAGGGTGAATGCCGATGGATTTGTAAATGTTTTACCAACCTCGCGTTCCTTAAATAAATCCTACTAGATCATGGTGTATAAACTTTTGAAAAAATAGATTTTACTTTTTTTAGGGCAGTTTTAGGTTCACAGCAAAGCTGAGCAGAGCATGGAGGTTCCCTGTGTGGTGACACACCACACACACTGTCAGCATCCCCACCAGATGGTCCACTTGTCACAGTGATCAACCCACCTGGACACGTCATCCTCACTCACACACAGTCCATGGTTTACCTTGGGGTCACTCTTGGTGTTGTACATTCTATGCGTTTTGACAAATGCCTAGGTACCCACGATTACAGTGACATACAGAGTAGTCTCACTGCCCTAAGAATCCTCAGTGCTCTCCTATTCGTTCCTCCCTCCCCATAATCCCTGATCCTTTTATTGTCTCTATAGCTTGGCCTTTTCCAGAATGTCATATAGCTGGAATCTCACAGCAGTAGCCTTTTGAGATTGGCTTCTCTCACTTTGTAATTTGCATCTAAGTTTCCTCCCTGTCTTTTCATGGCTTGATGGCTCATGTCTTTCTAGCTCTGAATAATATTCCATTGTCTGGATGGACCACAGTTTATTTATCCATCCAACTACTGGAGGACATCTTGGTTCCTTCCAAGTTTCGGCAACTATAAATAGAGTTGCTATAAACACTCAAGTGCAGGTTTTTGTGTGGACAGAGATTTTCAATGTCTTTGGGTAAATACCAAGGAGCGCGATGGCTTGGTCATATGGCAAGAATGTGTTTAGTTTTGTAAGAAAGCACTCATCTGTCCTTCAAAGTGGCTGCACCACTTTGTATTCCCACCAGCAGTGATGAGAGTTCTTGTGGCTTCACATCCTCGCCAGCATTTGGCGATGTCAGTGTTCTGGATTCTGTCCATTCTAATAGGTGTGTCATGATATCTCATTGTTTTAATTTGCATTTCCCCGATGACATATGATGTAGAGCATCTTTTCATGTGCTTATTTGTCATTTGTGTATCTTCTCTCGTGAGGTATCTGGATCTTTGGTCCGTTTTTAAAATCAGGTTGTTGGTTTTCTTTCTTTTTTAAAAAAAGTTATTTATTTAATTAATTAATTTTTGTCTGCATTGGGTCTTCGTTACTGCGCACGGGCTTTCTCCAGTTGCCGGGAGTGGGGGCTACTCTTTGTTGCCGTGCGTGGGCTTCTCACTGGGGTGGCTTCTCTTGTTGCGGAGCGCAGGCTCTACGTGTGCAACTTCAGTAGTTGTGGCACACGGGCTCAGTAGTTGTGGCTCACGGGCTCTAGAGCGCAGGCTCAGTAGTTGTGGTGCATGGGCTTAGTTGCTCCGCGGCATGTGGGATCTTCCCGGACCAGGGCTCAAACCTGTGTCCCCTGCATTGGCAGGCGGATTCTTAACCACTGCGCCACCAGGGAAGCCCATGGTTGTTTGTTTTCCTACTGCTGAGTTTTAAGGTAACTTTCTATGTTTTGGATAACAGTCCTTTATCAGATGTGTCTTTGCTAATATTTTCTCGCACTTTGAGCTTGTCTTCTCATTTTCTTAACTCTCTAATATATTAGTTGATTTGACTGCTAATATTTTGTTTAGTATTTTTGCATCTATGTTCATGAGATACACTGCACTTTAATTTTCCTTTCTCCTAATGTCTTTTTCGAGTTTTGGTATCAAGCCTTAAACTAGCTGAATAAAACAAGTTGGGGACTTCCCTTGGTGGTCCAGTGGTTACGAATCTGCCTGCCAATGAAGCGGACATGGGTTCCATCCCTGGCCCAGAAAGATCCCACAGGCCTCGGGGCAACTAAGCCCGCGTGCCACAACTACTGAGCCTGCACCCTAGAGCCCGCAAGCCGCAACTACTGAGCCCACGTGCTGCAACCACTGAAGCCCACGCACCTAGAGCCCATGTGCCACGACCACTGAGCCCACACGCCTCAACTCCTGAAGCCCGCATGCCTAGAGCCTGTGCTCTGCAATAAGAGAAGCCACCGCAATGAGAAGCCTGCACACTGCAATGAAGAGTAGCTCCCACTCGCCACAAATAGAGAAAGCCCCTGCGCAGCAACGAAGACCCAACACAGCCAAAAAAAGAAAAAAAAGTTGTGATGTGCTCTTTCTTTTTACATCCTCTGGAAGAATTTGTGTAAGATTGGTACGATCTCTTCCTTAAACACTTGAAGGAATTCACTAGTGAAGACATCTAAATCCATAGTTTTCTTTGTGGTAAAGTTTTAAACTACAGATGCAATTTATTTAATAGATATAGGACTGTTCAAATTTTCTATTTCTTCAGTTTTGTAAATTGTGTTTTGCAAGAATTTGGTCTGTTACATCTAAACTGTTAAATATATTTGCATCAAGTTGTAAACAACATTTATTACCATTTTAATGTCTGTAAGGTCTGTAGTGACGTTCTACTTTTCATTCCTGATGTGGGTAATTTGTATTTATCTCTTTCTTTCTTAGCATCTCTTTATGATCTGTGCCTAAATCAATTATTTTATTGGAAGTTACAAAATGGTGATTTCTAACTTTATCATTCCTTTCCATTTATTAGCTGACATACCCTGTAAAAGAGTTTTCCTCCCTGCCTTTGAGCATCACTCCAGACTCATGCATTTTTTAAAATATTTATTTATTTATTTATGGCTGCGTTGGGTCTTTGTTGCTGCACACCGGCTTTCTTTAATTGCAGTGAGCAGGGGCTACTCTTCGTTATGGTGCACGGGCTTCTCTTGTTGCACAGCACGGAGCTCTAGGCACGCGGGCTTCAGTAGTTGTGGCACATGGGCTCAGTAGTTGTGGCTCGCAGGCTCTGGAGCACAGGCTCAGTAGTTGTGGCGCACGGGCTGAGTTGCTCTGCGGCATGTGGGATCTTCTCTGACCAGGGCTCAAACCCGTGTCCCCTGCATTGGCAGGTGGATTCTTAACCACTGCGCCACCAGGGAAGTCCCACAGACTCATGCATTTTTATAAATTTATTTATTTTTGACTGTTGGGTCTTCGTTTCTGTGCGAGGGCTTTCTCCAGTTGCGGCGAGCGGGGGCCACTCTTCATCGTGGTGCGCGGGCCTCTGACTGTCGCGGCCTCTCGTTGCGGAGCGCAGGCTCCAGGCGCGCAGGCTCAGTAGTTGTGGCTCACGGGCCCAGTTGCTCCGCGGCATGTGGGATTCCCCCAGACCAGGGCTCGAACCCGTGTCCCCTGCATTAGCAGGCGGATTCTCAACCACGGCGCCACCAGGGAAGCCCCGACTCATGCATTTTTAAAAATCCAAGGTATTATGCTCTATTACCATGTTTTTATGCTCTATTATTGTTTTCATTCTCAGTCTACTCCCCAAGGAGCCTTTGTTCCTTTTAGTGGAGAATGGTATCTAGAAACCAAGATCTGGTTGCTAGGCGTGCTCACTGCTAGGGGATGTCATTGCTTCTGAGCCCTTTCAGAGCATAGCACGAGGACATTTAAAAAATCATTAAATATCCACAGTTAAATCTAACTCACGGGCCCCCCCACTCTCCCCCCGTCTGTCTCCCCTCTTCCCCGTCCGTACTGCTCCACCTATATTTCTCTCTCCTTTTAAATACATAATAAAAGCAATGGCAGCAACACAACGTGTGCCTGGCCTGCTGCTTTGTTCACTTCATAGGGTGTGAAGTCACAACAGCCCTTTGAGACAGAATTAGTCCCATCTTAGGGACGAGGAAAACACCCAGCTCCAGGGGAGGGAGGGTCCAGGGAGGCCTGCCGCCAGAACCCAAGGCCTGACTCTCAAGTGAGAGGGTCCGGGCTGCAGGGCGCCCAGCCCTGCTGCCTGCTGACGGACAGGTGGCCAAGGAGCCTTGGCAGTCCCAGTGCACTTCCCCTCAGCCACCCCAGGGAGGTGGGAGGAAGCCCTTCTCCTTCCAGATGCCCATGCTCAGGGGACGCCCTGGGGTCACACGCACACGCACACACGTGGGCTCCCTGTTGGCATGCTGCCTATTCTCTGTAACTGCTGGGATAGGGTTCACAGCAGGCGCTCCACAAAGATTTATTACATGAAGGAAGAAACGAAGGAACCAGTGAATGGATAAGAGATATGACTTGCAGGACTGCGTAAGGAAGGAGTCCCCGTGGAGAATTATTTGTGCTCATCTCAGAGCATTAAACTCTCTCACCCGGTGGCTGCCAGTCCGGCCTCTTGGCTCCCGAAGCAGGCCCCTTGCCCACCTGGCCGGGGCTCACCTGGAGAGGCGGTGTGGGGTGTGGGGTGACTTTCCCACGTGTCTGCTGCCCCTGCCAAGTCCCTGCCCCCACCCCACCCCGGGCCCCCATGGGGCTCACCTGGCGACGACTCTGATGTCAAAGCCGGGCTGGCACCAGGAGTCCATGAGGGCCAGCAGCCTCCGCTGAAGGTCGGGGAAGCCATCCACGTAGCGTTCCACAAGGTCTGCCTTGTCCTGGAGGAGCAGGGGGATGCACATCTACGGGGAAACACACCTTCAGGCCGCAGCTCCACCGCACCCAAGACCCCAGACTCACTTCCAACCCAGTGCAGGGAGTGGCCAGAGCATCAGAACCAAGGGGCCTGGAGGCTGGTCCATGCAACTTGCCTGCCCCGGGGAGCTTTGGGGCCCAACCGAGTGTCTGAGGACCTCACAAAGCCCCACGCCCGGCTCACGGCCTGCGCCCCATGCTCGGGCCCCTGCACACACACACAGGCCCCGCCGCTCCCTGGGCCCCGTCCCTGGGGGGCTCTGTGGTCACCCCATCTCCATCGGGAAGGATGAGAGGCTCCAAGACACAAGGGGGCTCCTGGAGGGGCCCCATTGTCCCCTTGTCTTCACCGAGCGGGGTGGGGTGGGCAGGATGGAGACCAACTACCGGCCATGGCCCTGCTGGCCCAGAAATGCCCGTCATGGGCAAGACGGCACCAGCACGTGGCCTGGCACAAGCTTACAAGACCCCCAAGCTGCCTGAGCCCTCAGGGAGGCCCCGAGGGAGCCCCTGGCCGTGGTGTTGGGCACTGGGACATACTGGCCACTCCCCTTGAAAGGACCAGGTCTCAACAAAGCCCCCTCCCAATGGCCCCTGCGGAAGACCCCTCCTCACCTGCCTTCCCCTCCCCCAGGTGGTCACATAGGGCAGGCTGTCTGGAGCCCAGATTGGACGGAGGCCCATCTGCCAAACTAGGGCTCCAGGTGGGCGGTCCTTGTGGGACCCCCCCCCCCATTCCTGAGAACCCTTGCAGCCCCCCCAGAGCAGAGAAGGAATGCCTGGTGGGCTCCTGGCGATCGGCCACTTTCTGAGCACGTTACACCAATGCCTGCAGACCACGCACAGGCCCTTGCCAGCCCCTCCCTTCCCCTAGTCCTGGATCCTCCTCACATGAGCAGGTAGTCACATGTGACCCCTGCCCTCCAGCGCCCTGGCCCCAGCCGAGTGGGGAGCAAAGCTCAGGGCTCAGTGGGAGGGACCCTCCCTACACCATGTTTCTGGAGCCCTGGCGCTGGAAGCTATGCAGTTTGCACGAGAACGACCCTTACCTTCTCAACATCAAGATCTGCTTGCAGCCGCAGCTTTGTGCCCAGCACGATGGCCTGGGAAACAGAGGGACCGGATGACACTGGGCCTGGGGGGACAGGCGGTGCCACAGGTGGGGGCTCCCGCCCTTCTGCAGCCCCCACTCCCACCCCGTCACCGCCCAGTCGCTGCAGGCACAGCCACGGGGCCGGTCCAGTTCCGGCCATGTGGCCCCCGGCCAAGCGGCCGGAAACCGGGCAGTGCTCCAGCCTACAAGCCCCCCTGTGCTGAGCCAGGCCCCGCACGCGGGGGGGGCAGGTGGAACGACCCCTGTGCCCTCCAGACTGGGGTGCGGCCTGGTCGGGGCCGCAAAGTGCGAGCTGAGCCAGGTGGCCTGGGTCCTGGCTTGCCGACGAGAGGGTGGAGGACGCAGAGGGAGGGACAGAAGCCCCCATCACCTAGCCATGGGGACTGGACACGGTGCACACTGCTCTCCCCACATCTGCTCTTGTTGCCCCACTCCTCCCGGGAGCATCACCTCCCACCATTCACGGTGCCCACAGCGAGGGCGGGTGGGACTCTGTGTGCCCGGGAGGCCCGAGGGACTGCGGCGGCCCTGACACGCGGGACTCCTTGAGGCCTCTGAACCCTTTCCACAAGCCACACCGCGTGCCCCAGTGACTAGGGGTCGTCGGATGGGGCAGGCTCGCTCCAGGTCCATGGCAGTGGGACCAGCATGGTCGTGCATTGGGGGCATGCAGAGAGCTGCCCCAGGAGCCACAGAGCAAGAGGCTCTGAACACCCCCCCCCCCCAGGGCAGCCCCTCAGATGGGGCAGTGGGCACGCTGGGCGGCCTGCCCTGCGCGGGGCGCGTGACACTCCCCCGACTCAGCAGAGGAAACGGCGCAGCCTTAGGCGCCCGCACGTAGCGCAGGCTGCTCTGCTATTAATAATTTCCATACATCGTGCTCCCATTATGAGCAAAAATAACTAGCCGGGCAGCCCGGCCCCGCCCCCTGCAGCTCACAGAAGGCCCAAAATAGCGGCCTGGGAAAGGCTGCTCCGGTGGAGGCCTGGACCGCGCGGGGGGGCGGGGG